GTGGGGCCTGAACTCTGGGCCTGGGCGCTGTCCCTCAGTTCTTTAGCTCAAGGCTAGTGTTCTACCAAGGCTAGTGTTCTACCACTTGAGCCATAGCTCCACTTCTGGCTTTTTTCTGCTTATGTGGTGCTGAGGAATGGACCCCAGGGCCTCATGCATGCAAGGCAAGCACTCTACCACTGAGCCGCCTTCCCAGCCCCCAATCTTTAGCTTTGGCCAGTGCTATTACAAAACATGATGCCTTGAGCCTCGTGTTGGTGGCTCACGCCTATATCCTAGGTACTCAGCAGGCTGTGATCTGAGAATTGCAGTTCAAAGTCAACCCAGGGCAGAAAGTCTGAGACTTTTATCTTCACTTAACCAGTGGCTGGCACTGAAGCTCAAAGTGGTAGAGCGTTAGCATTGAGCAGGGGAAGAAGGGAAGGAAAGTTCTTGACAGCTTCCTTCATATTTAGAGCCTCCTTCATCTCAAGAGCCATTTTCAATTCATCTGAAGTCTTTGTTAATTCTCCTGCTAATCTGACCCAGAATTGGTTCTCTCCATGGCCACTCTTGCCTTTCCTGGTCTACCCAAGCTATTTTTATCAATTGTCTGGACTGAATGCCAGCCTCCTAACAAATACACTCTTTTCTCCCTCACTCATTTCACTCTTATGCAACAAAGTGACCTTATATAAAGATAAATAGGATAAAAAATTTTAAACACTTTAAAAATGGCCTAAAAATCATGGCATAATCCTTAATTTCAGGATTCTTTAGCTTCATCTTCCAGTACTTTCCCTTATTCTGCAGAAAAATCAAGAATTTGGAACACACTGTCACCTTGCTTGGAATACTCTCCCAACTCAGCCTCACTGGTTCCTCAGCTTTTGTTTCAGCATAAATGTCATCTTCTTAAAAGTTCTTCATCCACACAATCTAAATTATATCCTTTTATTGTCTTTCCTAATTCTATGTTTTTCCTCTATTAGTATGTTGTTTTGCTAAATATAAACAAGTTTTTCATACAAGTCTGTTTCTTACAAAGTCTGTTTCTTACATGTTTGTCTGTACTTCATTAAGGACACAGTCCTGACAACTGGCATATACTGTGTCTAATAAGCTTTAGATTAACCTATAAATAGGTCTTTTTTAAAGAATCTGAACTCTTTACACTTTACATTCTTGTTCTATCCATTATGGCATGGGTGCAGTTATCACTACAATTGTGAAATACTGATTTTTATAGGTTATAAATATACTCATTTAAAAATTGTGACAAAAAATAAAAATAATAAAAATACTGTCGAGCTCAAGTGGTAGAGTGTTTGAATTGCAAGCAAAGTTCTGAGTCCAAACCCTAGTGTGGAAGGGAGGAAGGAAGGCAGGAAGGCAGGAAGGAAGGCAAAGAAAAAGCAAAACTCAAAAGCTCTGTTTTAAACTTTTTCCTCTATGAAATTTATCATACAGTTGAAATGTTTACTTCTTCATGACACACTGGTTTCTGAGAGTATATTACTTCCATCATTTTTTCCCCTTCTTATTCTTCTTGTGTTTAATGATGTTCATGCTACAGAAAAGATGTCTTCTGGTTAGTAATCTAGGTCCCAGAATGTTAAAGGTGGAGGGTGCTTAATTAAGTTAGAAGAGATAGAACAAAAAGCAACATCTTTGTCTAAAGGAACTACTTCCATAACTTAGAAATCTGAATACATCTTTTCACATAAAGTATACTTGACTCTGGAATCACACCACAGTTAATTAGATAATAATGATCTAAAAATAATTTTGTATAATTATAAAAGAAAAGCACATTATATCTTTTTCATTTGCTCTTGGCAAAGTTGCTTTGCTTTTACATACTTTTTTCCGTTGTATAGCTTCTTCCAGTTGTTTAAATTCTTCGGTAGCTCTTAAAACTTTTTGTTCTGCCTTTTCTATTTCATCATGTAGTTCTGACAGTTGAATTTTTGCTGCAAAATTTTAAAAATGCTCATATACACACAAGAAAAAAATCTGAATTCTGCAAACTTCCTTCTCCCTTAAATTCTGTTAATAGCCACAGAAAAGTTAAAAGGCAATTACACTGGCTTTCATTTCTATAATCCCAAAGGATAAATTGTTAATGATATGCTATAAAACTATAAGTGACCCTTTTACTCATAAAATTTTAAATGTAAAAGTTGGGTACAACGTTTTTTCCCCAACATAACTGAATTCTTTTAAAAACATACAGATTTAAAAGCATACAAATTAAGCATTTCGTATGTCACAAAGTCCTATTACGTTCATGGTAGTTTAAAAAAAAAATCCTGTGTTTGACTGAGTGCTGGCCTAGTACCTATAACCCTAGCTGCTTAGGAGGTTGAGATCTGGAGGACCATTGTTTGAAGCCAGCATGAGCAGATAAGTTTTCAAGAGTCTACATTTAATTAAGCAGCAACAAACTGGTCTGGAAATGTGGCAGCACATTCGCTTTTGGCAAGAAAGCTGAGCAAGCATGAGGCCTCAAGTTCAAATCCTAGAACTAGCTAAGAAATTTTTTTTACTCTTGTGTTGAGGCAAATATTATATATTATGGGTCTTAATATCAAGAAATTTACTTTATCTGGTCCTGGGTGGAGGTGATGTCAAATCAATTACTTCCTACCTCAAATTTCAAATTTTTCTTACCCTTTCTCACGCTAAGATTCCAACAAAGCTATAAGCCTCTGAGCTGAGGCTGCACTCATCTATTTTTGCCTTCCTCTTCGAAGGCCTTGGTTATGGTGGATATCAAAAAGAACTGTTTATTCTCTAGTCTTGCCAGGTCAACTTCTACTGGGCTTTCCATGTCTTCTATTTAACTATCAGTCAAGGGATGATAAGCTGTTGATTTGTGAGGGCTCCACAAAAAATTTAAAAGGTAATTATAAGTAGTGGGATGCATAAACTCAGGTTGGAGTTCTTTTTGTATAGCCATACGCATACAGCTGAGTTGGTAAGTGGACATAGAGTTTGACACTGGCAGGGTCTCTAAAGAATCTCTCAATTTAACTTCTTCCTCTGTGTGACTTGCCAGAAGCGGTTAGATCCCTTGAATTTGTTTGGGAATGGAATAATGGTTGGAGAGATCGAGTGGGTATGGGACATATCAAAAAGAGTCAGAGGCCAGCCTTTGGCATGAAGATAAGGGAAAAGTGATCTATTCCAACCTATCCTAAGCACCATTTCAGGTTTGGATCACATATATAATAAGCAATAAAAATGTTTCTTTACTTTCTTCAGCTATTATTGATTAGGCCTTTAAATGCCTGGAGGCAGAATGAGATTCATAAACTCTTAGATCAATCATCTGATATGATGCCATTCAATTACTGTCAGAAACCCAAATCTCAATTCTCCAAATCTCAATTCTTAGTATGAATCATAAACAACAATATGCTCTGTATATCACCTTTGTAATAAAAAATTTAAAAACATACCATCCATATGCTCTATCACCAGTGGCTCACACCTGTAATCTTACCTACTCAGGAGGCTGAGATCTGAGAATCGAGGTTCAAAGCCATTCCAAGCAGATAAGTCCATGAAACTCTTATTCCAACCACCAAAAAGGGGGCACTGGAGCTGTGGCTCAAGTGGTAGAGCACAAGTCTTGAGCAAAGAAGCTCAGGGATAGTGCCCAGGCCCTGAGTTCACACACCAGGACTAGAACCAAAAAATAACAATATGCCCAAGCAAACACCACTTTTGTTTTAGATTTTTCATGTAAACAATAATACCATCAACTTGTTTCATTAAAAATTATAAAACAGCCAGATGCCAGTAGTTCATGACTGTAATCCTAGCTACTCAGGAAGCTGAGAGCTAAGAATCACAGTTTGAAGCTGGGCTGGGCAGAAGCTTGCCTGGGCAGAAAAGTCTCAGCTCAATTAACCACTCAAAAACCAGAAGTAGTGCTGTGACTCAAGTGGTAAAGCATTAACCTTGAATACAAAAAGGCTCAGAGACAGCACCTAGACCCTGAGTTCAAGCCCACAACTGACCAAAAATAATTATGAAACAAAACTGGGGTGCAAAGCCTCCCTTCCTTCCTCCTATTTTTGCAGTGCTAGGGATCAAATCCAGAGCCTTATATTTTTAATAAGTTTAAAAAGCAACTTTGTTTAACCTGCACTTATTTGCTTTTCTTTATCTTCCAGTTGTATGTCCAGTAGCTCATGTTCTCTCAAGTTCACATGTTCAGCATTTCTATGCTGTTCTCCATCTGGCCCCATCTTTTTGATCTGTATGGTCTGGGCATCATTGGCAATGTAACTCTCAGTGGCAAACATATTTCTCTTGTATCTGGATTTACCAATGTAAGGGCTCTCATCTGGGGCTTTATCAATTTCATCACACTAAAAGCAATGTAAATAAACAACTTCCAGTCAACTGACATTATTCATTTTATTAGTGGCAAACATATTACAGAATCACCTAAATTTATATTAATCTTATATGTTTAAGGAGCTGAAAAATGTACTTTCACATCTTATGCTTAATATATCAAAAGGGAATTCCAATGAAAAATGGTCTTTCTCTTACCAAGGAGTGAACACTTGGATTCACTGATTAATGAAGGACCTACAATTCTGTGATTTTGAATCTCTTAGTCTTTCAGAAGCCTGAGTGTATTCTGGTTTCATGACTGATATCAGTAAAATTTCAACATAATAAAATTTAACAACTGAACTTAAAAAAATTTAACAGTATTGTTGGAATCACTGGGTCTTAGAAGCTAGGCTATTGCCTTGTTTTGGTGGCATTTGTGACAATCGTTCTAATAATAGGTAACAAACACTGAATCTAGGGAGTAGCTGAACAAATCATATTGGGAGTTATTTACACAATGGTCCTGAAGCACTTTCTTCAAAAGTTCAGATTTAATCAACCCATATTCTCAAGCAAGGTGACTGAAGGTTAAGACATTTGCTTTGGATATGGACATGGCTATAGGAAAAAATCTGGAGGCATTCACCTCTTCATGACACTATTCTTATTCCTGAGCCAAGTAATTAGCAGATTTAACCAAAACCCAGTTTACTTTGATGATTCCCTCAGAAGAAAAAAAACGATAATGGTTAGTGGTAAAGTTTCTTGCATGTCCCTACCATATCCTCCCGCTTTTCCCTATCCTGCCATTAGTCACCTAGGCATTAATTTTGGATTACTAAAAAATTAAAATAACTTACCTCTGGTGGATAATAATTTAGTGGCTCAAATTTGGCATCAATTTTATAAAAAGCCAGCTCTTGTTCCAGCTCATATTGCTTCTGACATGCTCGTGTTAGTTCCATGGTCTTCTGTTTTAGCTATCGATCCAACATAATGACATAACATATAGTATCAGCACATTAGGATAAAGTTACAATGATATGGGAAGTTCTTATCATAACCAATAATTTTTCAAAATTCTATAGCAAATAGCACAACACAGAGAAGGCTGTATCTTAATCTTATCAAAACTGAACATATCATTTCAGAAGAGATCACATAAAAGACCTTTGTAGCTTATATACTATTTCAAGATATAATAAAGATTTTTAAAAGTCATTTAAATTTGTTTTATGTAAACATGAAATAACTTCATATCAACCATTTTCAAGTAATTGGACTACCAAGTTCCTGCTTCCTGATTTCCTCATAAGTAGCACTAATTTATTTTACTTTCATTTACATTTTATTTAATTAATGACAGATTCAAATCATGTGGAGAAGTGATATTTTATAATAACTACAGAGGAGTGAAAAGGAGAAAAATAGAATTTGGTTTAAATTATACTTTGTTGTTATATTATTGGTGACTAATGGCAGGTTTTGAGTGTACAGAACATCATCTTTGTATTGTTTTGTTTTTGTGTTTTTTGAGACAGGCTCTCCCTATATACACCAGACTTTCTTTAAATAATGATGCTTCTGAGTTAGCCTCCTGAGTGCTGGGATTAGAGATGCCCCTAACATGCTGGGCTAGAATATCATTACTTGTAATAGTGAGTGAAATGTAAATAAGTTTTTTTTTTGTAAAAAATAAATAAATGGCCAGGCACCGGTGGCTCACGCCTGTAATCCTAGCTACTCAGGAGGCTGAGATCTGAAGATCATGGTTCAAAGCCAGCCTGGGCAGGAAAGTCTGTGAGACTCTTATCTCCAATTAACCACTAGAAAACTGGAAGTGGTACTGTGGCTCAAATGGTAAGAGTGCTCACCTTGAGCTGAAGAGCTCAGGGACAGTGCCAAGAATTCAAGCCACACAACCAACAAAACAAAAATAATAAATAAATAAATAAACAAATGTAAATAAGCTCATCAGATCAAAATATGTAATATTAATTTTTTAAAAAGAAATTCTACTATATAACTTAAACTTAGAAAATTCTGAAGGAGGAGGAGAATGATACAATTGTGTTTTCTAAATTTATAAATAAGGAAACAGAGTCACAGATTAGTGAAATAACTTGTCCAAAAGTTACATATTAGATTTGTAGCAGAACTTAGTAATTTCATTAACTATGTACCATTACTATAAAACCAGTCCTTTGAGTGTATTTCTAAGGTCCACTAAGTGATTTTCCAGTACCTAATAATAGAGATAAAAGAACATGCAGGAGTATTTCATTAATATAAAAATGCAAGCTGAAGAGAAGAAAACAAAACACAAACATTTTACAAGACTAGAAAATCAAAGCCGTGCATGACTTTGCTTACAGTCATCTCCTGAGCATCCTTTAAAATGGAAGTAGCATTGATCTGAGTTCTAATGTGCCAGATGTTGTGCTACATGATTTACATATGCTACCTCACTGTATCTTCACAACTGCACTATGAGATGATAAAAGTTGACAGAGAAGCTTAATGACTTGCCCAATTGTGCAGCTGGCGGAAGAAGGTGGCGTTCAATTCCAAGTTGCCTATTTGGAAATCTAATACTATCCCATGGGACAGCCTGTTGTTTCATGCTGCCTTCAGTGTTCTGCAGTAGGGTTAGTACATTACCCACATTGATTTTTTCACTGAATGCTCATAGGGATCTGAGTCTCAAGGAAAAGTAACTCACAATCAACAGTACTGATTATGTCAACTTATCTTGGGCTTCTTTCCTCAAAGTTCATTGATAATAGAGCCAAACAAAAGGCAAACAAGACTGAAACCAACAGTTCAATTAACTAGTTTCTAGAATAAATAGTTTATATATTTCAAAGTATTTTTGTGCTTTTTCATAGCCTTAAGCCTAGCATACAGTAAGTATTAAATAAGTATCTGTTGACGAATGCATAAATGAGAACAAACTGAAAGTCAAATTTATCATTTGGAACTAGATTTCTAGGAAGTAAGCTAGTAATAGTATTGGCTGTGGACAATCAAGAGATGACTGCATATTTATCAATAGGAAAAACGATACAAATTATTTTCCGTACATTCAAATTTGTTCTTATGTACACATCCATTAAAAATAAGTACACACACAAACACATTTCCCAAGGAGGCAAGCCATTTTAAAACATAAAGGGTAAACAAGCATATTAATACAAAGTTATCATGCAAGCCACAAAAAACATAGTGTGCAGTTCAACTCTGCAGAACTACCTTTAAAGAAGAATAAAGAATCAGCAGAAAAGGACCTGCAAGAAACCAGCACAAGGGCTAAAAAGAAGAAAGAAGCAAACAGGTATTGTCACCTGGAGAGCTCTAGAGAATTAGGCTATAATACTACAGATTGATCTTTGTTGACAACTAACTGTATAGGAAGATATGGTTATTAGTAATTGTTTCTGTCTCTCATGGACATATCACTCTATCACCTTCCATTTACTTAGCTTGATTCATTTTAAATTATTTTCACATTTATCACCTCATTAAATTCTTACAAATCTATAACGATGGCAGGACAAGCAAATCATTTCGTTTTAAAAATAAGAAAATGAAGGATTGAAATTAAATAACTTGTTTTAGGACAAAGAGCAAGTTCCTAATTGTAGCTTGTGGATTAAGGGACAACTACAGTTTAACTAGCCACCAAAAGACTTACTTCAGTGCTACTTTTTTTCATAATGGAAATGGTTTAATGCTTGAGCAATTACTTTATAACACTGGAAATCATTGCATAATTATAGTGATAATGTCATCAGATATTTTGTAAAAGATAATGAAAATGTTTTTCAAATGTTAAGCCCTCAGAATACAATCTAAAATTATGTTTTTAAATTTAATAGTCTTTTGGCTGAATAGAATATAGACAAACACACTGTTAATTTGAAAAATACAACATAATAAACAAAATAAAAAATACATGAATAACATTCAACCTTCCAACAAGTATAAAAGTGGAAAATTAAAACAACAGGATTTCATTTGTTCTATCATATTTTGTATGTTCAAAATAACAAAATCTGATTAGAAATGGAGCCTTCTGCTGACTGCTCTTGATCAGTCACCTCAAATTATGCCATCCAGTCTGTATATCTGTTTTTATATTTTTCCTTGTTTCCATCATAAAGTCAAACTATATAAAATTTAGACAACATATACACACATACATATGTACAGGTCAGTCTGAAAGTGTTCTATAATTCCACTTTTCAGAAATGACCACTATTGGGAATTTGGTACAAATGCTGTGTTTTTCTCAAATATAATCTCACATATTTTTACATATAGCATTTATACTATATAATCATACTGTTCTACAACTTGCTTTTTTTCCCACATAGTGGAAGGTGCCAGACCTTCCATGTCAGGGTAGATTATCCCATTTCACTAACAACAATTTATTATTCTTCCAGATGGATGCCCACTAAGGGACATGTTAGTTATTTGCAACATTGCTAATATGAACAATGCTGTAATGAGTATTTTGGTATGTGTGTATTTTTATCTTTACACATTCATGCTACAGAATATATTATTGGATATAATCTCTGTACCATACGGTATGACTGTTTAAAATTTGGGTAAAACTTTGCCATATGGCCTTCTAAAAATGTTTGCCAATGTACATACAGTCTAGCTCACATTTCTAGTCTAATAATACATTAGGTGCAATCTGACATCTCCTCACATTGCCAGCACCTCTTGCCCCTTTGTGCTATACCATACACCTTAGTCTCCTGGGCAGTTTTACCACACAGTCAACACAATTGTAAAGCTTTTTGCACATATTTCTGTTAATCCTATCTTTCCTGTTCTTTTGTCAGAAGTTGTATTCTTTGAACTCAAGGGCAAAGAATTCTAAAGCTCTAATGTATACAAGCCAAACCTGTAAATTGAACTCACCAATTCATTTTTCATGTTAAGGTCACTTTCTAGCTCTTCACAGTTCTGCTTTTGTAACATAGCCTTTTCTTTCAGTGATTTGTTTAGTTTATCTTGAGCTTTTATTTCCTCAAGGATCTTTGTTTGTTTGCTCTTAAGCTCTTCAGTTTCCATTGTCTTTTTTTCCAGGTCTCTTTCCAGTCTTTCTACCTCTTCTGTAAATAAAAAGGCAAGGAATACTTCTCACAACAATAGTAACGGAGTCTAAGGATAGTGTAAATATAATTCTGCTTATAAAATTATCCCTAGTCTGGGGAAAATAAAAGGCCATCTTGAGCTTAATTCAGGTCTATATTAAGAGATAAAAAGGCACTATTATTTGGACAACAATTTAAAAAGACTTTATTTGCATTAAATGTTCAAGATTTTTTGTCTCAATCTCCCTTATAAAACATAGTATTTATTTACTTATTTAGTCAGTTGTCAGTTTTGAATTCAGGGTAATATTTAGTATATATATGATACTAATCTGGTCCTAGGGCTTGAACCAAGGGTCTGGGTGCTCTCCATGAGCTTTTTTGCTCAAAGCTAGCACTCTACTACTTGAACCACAGCTCCACTTCTGGTTTTCTGGTGGTTAAATGGAGGTAAGAGTCTTACAGACTTTCCTGCCTGGGCTGGCTTCAAACCATGATCCTCAGATCTCAGCTTCCTGAGTAGCTAGGATTACAGGCATGAGCCACCAGTAGCTGGCAGTGTTTTATATTAATTATACTTACAATACTACAAACATGTTTGAAAAACATTACCTCATCTTAAAATCTTCAGTCTCCCTATTACTATTAGGACAAGTTCTAAAAGCCTTACACAAAAAGCCAAAAAGCTCTTCATAATTCAGTCTCAGTGCCCCTCTTCAGCCTATCTTCAAGCATACCTCAATGCAGCTTTCCTGAACTGCCTCTGGCTCTTTAGATCTGATGTCTCTTTTACCTGCAGGCTTTATTTACACTCTTTGCTAGAACTGTCTTCCTCTATCTCCTATTTTACAGCCTCTATGGATAAACCAAATGAAGTTACCATTTTTAGCTGAACATGGTGGCTCATGCTATAATCTCAACTATTCAAGAAGTGGCATAAATTAGCAGGAGCATGGCTCCAAGCCAGCCAGGGTAAAAGAGCTAACAAGAGCCCTCTTCTCAACCAAGAAGTAGGCATATTAGCATATGCCTAATCATCCAAGTAAGAGGGAAGCTATAGGTAGGAGGATTATAGTCTGAGGCTAGCACAGGCAAAAGCAAGACTATCTAAAAAATAACCCCAAAGCATTAAAGACTTGAGGTTTGGCTCAATTAGTACAAGCACTTGTCTAACAAACACATGGCCTTGAATTCAAACCCTATTATTGCCAAAAAACAACAACAAAAAAAGTGCCGTTTTTATAGATCAACAATGGACTGATGCCAGTTTAAAATGGCGTCAACATACAGGCAACATTACCCTCTAAAATGGTTATTTCATATCTTTCTTTCTCCTGAAACCTCCCATATGACCTCTAGTGTCTTTCTCAGGTGACTTCACACTTCATTAAGAAAATAAGACAACACCAGTAGAAACTCCCTTATTTTCCTACCACCAAGGCAACAAAACTACCCATATCTTCACTTTGATGGAAAACATGGTCTTCCTGCCAGGAGATGATCTCCCTTTTTTCTCTAATCTCATTGTCTTATATTTTATTTTTTAATTATATTTTTGTTATCTCTAGTTGTACAAAGGGGTTATAACTTAATGAATCAATTTATGAGCACAATGTATCTTGACTATTATCATTCCTTGTCTTCTATATATTTTTTTTGATATTTCTTTTTTTTGGGGGGGCGGGGTCCGGTCGTGGGGCCTGAACTCTGGGTCTGGGTGCTGCCTCTCAGCTCTTCAGCTCAAGGCTAGCACTCTACCACTTAAGCCACAGTGCCACTTCCAGCTTTTTTCCTTTTTGCTTAGGTGATGCTGAAGAATCAAACCCAGGGCCTCATGTATGCAAGGCAAACACTCTACCACTGAGCCACCTTCCCAGCCCCGTCTTCTATAGTTTTAAGAAACAAAAACACCTGAGGCACAATTTATCTTTCTATTCTGCTCAGGTCTTTAAAAGTAGCTCTGCAGGGGCTGGGAAGTTGGCTCAGTGGCAGAGCGCTTGCCTTGCAATGCATGAGGCCCTGGGTTCGATTCCTCAGCACCACATAAGCAAAAAGGAAAAAGCCGGAAGTGGCACTGTGGCTCGAGTGGTAAAGCGCTAGCCTTGAGCTGAAGAGCTGAGGGACAGCGCCCGGGCCCATGCTTCAGGCCCCACGACCGGACCAAAAAAAAAAAAAAAGTAGCTCTGCAGTTAGCTGAATTTTGTTTCAGCTCATTTCCTGGTCTGGAGGCTATTGGTGAATGTTTAGTTTAGCTTTATCTTTAAAACTTAAAAAAGCTCATTACAGGAGAAAAATTATTGGAGATTTCAAATCAGACACTCTCCCTCCCATTCTTCAATCCATCTGAATCTAGCATTTGTCTTCATCCCTCCTCCCTTAAGAGCATCATCTGACACTGTCAGCATAAAGCCTTTCTCTATGCACATTTTACTGCATGTCTCAGCAGTGATCAGCACGGCTCACCACTTCCTCTCATGAAATCTTCTTTTGAAAACCACTATTTTCTGGTTTCTTCAACCTTGCTTGCCTACGTTTGTCAATTTCCTTAGCAGGCTGGCTGTCTTCCTCTTCTCACACCTTAAACACATAGACTGAACTAATTTTTTTTTAAATAAGCAAAAAAGAATAAGACTTTTATTGACCACTTCTAAATCCTGTAGGGGATTTCCGTTTAGGTGGGACTGAACTAATTTTATACAGCATTCTTAATGAACCTGTGTTTTCACTGTGACCTACCACTTTAAGATTAGGTGAGGAATTTTTCTACTTGTAACATCACTCAGAAGTTTAAGATTTTAGAGCATTTTATTTGTTGAATATTTAATTATTTACTGTTCGTTAGAAGTGATATACAGTGGGGTTACTTTTACATATATCAGGTAATAAGTACATTTCCTTCCTTTTGCATAGTATCATCTATTCCCTCATTCTCTCCCATTCCCTCTCTCCCATCTCCATCTACCAGTTACATGGTTCATGTTCATCAATATCCCATGTAGCCAGTGGGCTCTGCTGCTGCACTTTTCACCCATTTTCCACTGATTTTATGCCCTCCCCCCAACTTCCCTCAAATGTGTATGTGTTTACATGTGTATATAGGTCAAGAATACAGAGTCATCAGAAAATGAAAGAACAGGTCCTTTGTTTATCTTTGGAGTTTGCTTCAGTATGTATATTTTATATATATATATATATATATATATATACATACATACATACATATACATATCTATGAGAAAGGAGCTTGGGTATTACAACTTGGTGATTTTTCTCCTAAGACTATCCTCTTTTGGTCTTACTGTATGTGTCTAGAATCCTGTATAATTTGTCATATCTCGTGTTTTAAATCTAACTTACACATATCAGGAAGAACATGTGCCATTTGTCTTCTGATAATGGCTTAACTTTGGAGCATTTTAGACTTTAGATTTTTACACTAGGGATGCTCAATTGTATCTTTAGTCCAGGTTTATCTAAAATACAGATGCATTTCTGACTCTATATGGTTTTCTCACAGGTATTTCTAACTCATTAAGTCCCATACAAAACAGAATTCTTCCATTTTTAGAAGTGATAACATCATCTACCCACTTATATCAGAAGCTTGAGAATTATCTAATCCAACAAAAATGTGGCAGATTCTATCTTCACAAGTGATCTTTTCATTTTCACATCTGCCATCTAAGCACAGATCACCAACTCTTCTAGCCTCTATTACTTTAATAGCCACCTAACAGACCCCTTCATCTCCATATTGCTCCATCTCATTTGCCACCCTGCTTCAAAAAAGATCTCCTTAATGTATTAACCAGATTATTTCCCTCAAAGCTGTATGACAGACACACTTCAGTGCATCAAGAGTTTATTGGTTGAAATTGGATCCTATGAACTTTTTGCCCAGGCTGGGCTAGAACTATGATCCTGACAATCTTAGCAGCCAAGTAGCTAGTATTATAGGTATAAGCCACCAATCTCAGCTTCCATGGAAATTTTAAAGCATTGTGAAGTTCATAATATAATATTTTTCTGAAATAACTTTTGAAAATAAATTCCTTTTCCATATAAGTTTATTTTTTCCAAGTGTATTCTTACCTAAACTGAATCTTTCAAAAGCCTCTTGTCTATCCTGAGAGGTTACTGGCTGACCTTCCAAACTCTCCAGTGAACGAAGGTGAAAGGTTGTAAACTGGATGTAATGAGGAAGGGTCACAACTGGATTTTCGTCTAAGATCAGAGAGGTCAAATCTTGAAGTGGTTTCAACTTACTTATATCCTGGAGCTGAAATGATATAACAGTAGTATTGGAATCATTTACTGCAAGCATCCCAAATGTAACTGAAGAAGGCAATAAATCAAGGAAGTCACTCTTAAAATGGCAAGAAATCTATTCATGAAGCCCCTTATCCAAAAGTAATGGTGTTAGGAAAGGCACAGGAAGAGAGCACAGAGTATATAGTGTACCAGGACAGTACTGGGTTTTTTATATTAACCACTTCCCTGTGTGACTCCATATATATATACATATATATACATATATATATGTATATGTGTATATATGTACATATACACACATATATACATACATATATATGCATATATACACATATGTGTATAGCTATACATACATATATAACTATACATACATATAATTTAAATATCATTTAAATTTTATAGATGAAGAAACATGTATTAAGAATTAAGTAACTTGACTATATAAAGCTCAGAGCTTTAAAAAAGTGAATCAAACAGGATCTGAATTCAAGTCTATGTAACTCTAACCCTATTGTCTGTTTATTATATTAATCAAACAAACTGGAAATGAATGACTATAAAAATATTTTGGTAAATTTTCAGATAATTGAATTACAATTGATAGTTGAAAGACACAAGGCTATATAGAAATGCCCATAATTTTTTCTTTTGCTGTGCTATGGATCAAACCCAGGGCCTTACATTCTCCTAACCCACACTACCCAACCCTATATATACATTCTTTGAAGATTCTTATGTTCACCCAGAGGGATTTAAGGTTGACAAAGACCATGCCAAAGAGCTGAGCCAAATACATATTTTCTCCCACGAATATACTTCATTCTTATTAATACCAATTTCAAAATAAACTGGGGTGAGAATATATCATGTAAAATTAGTAATAAGTATTAACTGAATGATTTTCCTATTACTGTGCTGATACTGGGTTCTACCTAAGAAGCAACTATGCTGTAAAATATTTGTGGCATATTTTAGATTTATGGCTACTGCTTCCCATCATCCTGTAAACTTCATGAGATCCAAAGTGATTCTGTCCAACATGGTGTGGGACCTCAGCTCGGAGGCTCTTAGGATTTGGTGGTTATATGGCTGAGTCTCCTTATCACATCTTTATAAAGATGAAGTTAAAAAACCAGATTGTTGATAACACAGCATTAGTGTTGCTTATTTATTATTATTAGTAGTAGTATTGGTCTTCACAGCTGAAAGCTTAAGAACACAGCCTTAACAGCCTTAGAATTATTTAATGATCGCAAAGCCCGGCACCAGTGGCTCATGCCTGTAATCCTAGCTACTCTGGAGGCTGAGATCTGAGGATCATGGTTCAAAGCCAGCTCGGGCAGAAAAGTCCATGAGACTCTAGAAAACTGGAAGTGGTGCTGTGGTTCAAGCGGTAGAGTGCTCGACTTGAGCTGAACAGTGCAGAGACAGCGCCTAAGCCCAGAGTTCAAGCCCCACAACCAACCAAAAAAAAAAAAAAAGAATTATTTAATGATCACAAGTTTTTTCACATCTATCTTTATCTGATCCCCATGATGCTCCTGCATAGTAGACAGTACAAGAATTATTTTCTCCAACTTAAACAAGGATTTAAAAGGACATTTAAGGCTACAGAAGGAAAATCTGGGCCCATAGTTGAAGTTACATCTTCCATTTTCTATGACCAATGTTCTTTAAATTTTATCATAGTTTTCCCAATTTTAATATACATTTAAGTAATGTTTTTTTCACTTAGAAAGTGTTTACTGAGGGCTGGGAAGGTGGCTCAGTGGTAGAGCCCTTGCCTTGTATGCCTGAGGCCCTGGGTTCAATTCCTCAGCACTACATAAGCAAAAAGAATAAAGCCGGAAGTGGCGCTGTGGCTCAAGTGGTAGAGCACTAGCCTTGAGCTGAAGAGCTGAGGGACAGCACCCAGGCCCAGAGTTCAGGCCCCACGACCGGACCCCCCCACCAAAAAAAAAGAAAACCAAGCTGTGAACACTGAAAGAAAATAATAAATTATACTCCAGAGGAAATAAGTACATCTTTATCCAATTAATAAACTACGATAATCAAGTTATTCTATATCAAACTAGTGATCAATATCTAATGAAGCCTACCACTACAATTAAGATTAATCCCTAAATTAAGAAACTTTATTATAAGATAGTATTGTAGAATACAGTAGTTTAGATTCTGGTACAAGCTGTAACTTTGGATAAAGAACTTGCCCTCTTTGAGACTACTTGTAAAATAAGAATAAGGCTGTACTAACTCAACTGGTAGTATTACAAAATAATTATCACTGTGTCTCCATAACAAGATTGCTATGGAGTACAAATGATCAATGTGAAAACATTATGAGATCAATTCTTACCACTAAACCTATGCAAAATTAGAACTACCTGTCTTCAATTACTTTAGAGAATACTACGTCCTATGTGAATTTGGTGTTCAGACATGGCTTAAGAGTGTTAAAAAGAAATTCAATTTTGTAAAAGAAACTTTTTTTACAAGTCCAAAAATTTGAAAAAAAAATTCTTCCTATTTTAACAACTTACCGATGATATCTTGTTGCCTTTCAGATTGAGCACTTGCAAAGATTTCAACTTCTTCCCAAACCATACTGGTATATGCTCAATTTCATTTCCTGCAAGGTTTAGCTTTTGCAGGTTACACATATGTTGTATTCCTTCAATTTTGCTGGAAATCAAAGGGCAAAACTAAACTTATAATAAGTGCAATGATAATCCTATTGAAATTTTAGAATAAGCAGCTTTGAGTACACGTGAAGTTATTTTCCACAGTTTTAATTTATTAACTCTTTCCACAAATGAGAATAAAGTGGCTAAAATTAAATTCATTAACGCAGCTGAACCACTCACCTTTTATTACTGTACCCAGCAATACTACCCCTCTCCCTCTCAGATGTTAAGACCCTATCAAACAGGAAAAAAAGAGGAAGACTAGGGTCCTCTCATTGACTACTGTGATGACTATGAGTAGAGAGGGAATCAGGAGAGATCTAGAAACCCAACAGCACTCACTTCTGTGTGTACCATCCTGCCCAAGAGAAGTCCCTAATTACTACATTAAGTCACCACAAAATGATAGGCTGCACCAGGAAACAGAAGCCCCTAAAATAACAGTATGTTATAAACACATTTGTTTTAATCATAGTATTTGAATAAAACATTTATTACCGATGTTGGTAATTTTTTTTTGGGGGGGGGTCCAGTCGTGGGGCCTGAACTCTGGGCCTGGGCACTGTCCCTCAGCTCTTCAGCTCAAGGCTAGCGCTCTACCACTGGAGCCACAGCGCCACTTCTGGCTTTTTTCTTTTTGCTTCTGTGGTGCTGAGCAATCAAACCCAGGGCCTCAGGCATGCAAGGCAAGCGCTCTACCACTGAGCCACCTTCCCAGCCCCGCATGTTGATAAATTTTTATTGATTAAAAATTTTCCCAAATTGTTTGCAAATAAATTGTTGGTTTTAATCTTTTGGTCAATTTTCTATACTGGGCAAATATTTTTTAAAATTCTCTATCACCATTCTTATTTTGCTGAAATTATTTTCATGAGGTTCAATTCTATTTATATTGATTTTATCAGTTTTTTTTCCATTTCTTTTCTTTTCTCTTTTTTGGGGTCCAGTCATGGGGCCTGAACTCTGGGCCTGGGCGCTGTCCCTCAGCTCTTCAGCTCAAGGCTAGCGCTCTACCACGTAAGCCACAGTGCCACTTCCAGCTTTTTTCTTTTTGCTTTATGTGGTGCTGAGGAATCAAACCCAGGGCCTCATGCATGCAAGGCAAGCGCTCTACCACTGAGCTACCTTCCCAGCACTTCTTTCTTTTCTTTCCTACCAGTTCTGGGGCTTGACCTCTGGACTTAGGTGCTGTCCCTGAGCATCGTTTTGCTCAAGGAAAGCCTTCAGCCCTACCACTTGAGCCATAGACCACTTCTAGCTTTTTCTGTGATTAATTGGAGATAACACTCTCATGAACTTTCCTGCCTGAGATGATTTGGAACCATGATCCTCAGATCTCAGCCTCATGAGTAGCTAGGATACAGGCATGAGCTACTAGCACCTGGTTCCATTTCTTAGAACTGCCACTATTACTTCTTTTGATTTATTGGCTATTATATTTAAAGAAGTCTAACGGGGTAAAATTGTTAAAGATTTTCAAAATTTGGCTCTCACATTATTTTGTGCAGAACAAGCTTTCTATATGTAATTTTAGCCAATTTTAGGTTTTTTCGCATTTATTTCTCACAGTAATATGTACTTTAATAAGAAAAAAGATTTGAACGTTTTTCTTATAGCAATGAACAAAGAATATCAGGATAAATACACAGGGTCAAATGATTTGGAATATTTTAAAGATCAAAATGGCAGGGTTAAAATTTCATGCCAACATTCTTTTATTTTTTGTTTTGGTCAGTCATGGGCCAGAACTCAGGGCTTGGGCGCTGTCCCTCAGCTCTTCAGCTCAAGACTAGTACCCTACCACTTGAGCCACAGTGCCACTTCCAACTTTTTTCTGCTTATGTGGTACTGAGGAATTGAACCCAGGGCCTCATGCATGCAAGGCAAGCACTCTACCACCGAGCCACCTTCCCAGCCCATGCCAACATTCTTTATGTAATAAAAGCAGTGTACGGATAACATTTGTGAAAAGCCCATGATAAAAACTGATTAAGATAAAATTTGCCACTCAAAAACAAATGTATGTGCTTCCTTGTTTATGCTAGGTAAGATATTATCCTGAAGTTAATAAATACATAAATATAAAGACCATTTTATACAAAGGGTTAGAATATCAATAAATAAGAATTAAAATACTTGCTATATCAAAAGATTAATTCAGTAATGGATAGCATTAATCTAAGATTGCAATGCTACCTAACTAAAGAGGGAGATACTCACCTGATTTTGTTATATGATAAATTTAGTTCACGTAATTTTAATAGCTTGTCCATCTTCTCAACCTTCTCCACTAGATTATAGCTGAGATTAAGTACTTCAAGTTTAACGCATTTTTCCAAATTTTCAATGTACTAATTGGAAACAAATGAATAAAGACTTTACAGGATACATGCTCTAACAAAAACATTCAGTATATAAAACTTATTTGATTAGTCATCATAAAACACTAAATTCTTACTGTTCTACATGGTCCTTGGTACAACTTCCCTTGACCGTTAAGTAGCAACTGTCCTCTAGTTGTCAAACTTCCCTTTTAATGTTTCCTACGTAATAAGGGGCTTAAACTGTCCAACTCCCAACTCCTTCTCTCTTTTCACGTCTTTCCTTCTTCTCTTCCTTTCTCCTATCTCCTTAAAAAAACTTGGGTACTATACTACTGAATTAAGTGTTATCCTTTCCCATTCCCCAAAACCTTGCATACACTACATATTCAACCTCCTTCTTTCTTCTGGTTTTTGTCTCAGGCTTAAAAGAAGTCATTTTACAGTAGATACACATTACACACTGCACACAAAGTATGATACCAAGCAATAGAGCTATAGTACTGAACTAATTTTTTTTTGAAGTCCTGGAGCTTGACTTCAGGCTGTCATTTAGCTTTTTCCACTCAAGACTGACATTCTTCCCACTTGAGCCATACATAGGTCTAGATCTCAGCTTCCTGAGTAGCTAGTATTACAGGAAACAGCCACCAGTGCCCAGGTTGTGAACTGATTTTTATCTACTGCATAGAGCTCCTAATTACTATGCTCACATTTCTTTTATAGAGAGTAGACTGCATTTCATTGAACCTGTGTTCCCATCAAGACCTATCACTTTCTTATTTTGTAAGATTATCTCATTATCTCCTTTACTTGCCACCATTCAGTCCTTCTGCCTCCCATTTACTGATAAAAGATTTTTTTTCTTTTCTCCATTCACTGCCATAAGATTTAAAAAAATAGTTTCTAATATTCTTTCCTAATGCTTTTTTTTTTTCGTTCCTAACACTTTTTTTTCTTTTTTTCTTTTTTTTGTCGGTCCTGGTGCTTAAACTTTGGGACTGGGCATTGTCCCTCAGCTCTTCAGCTCAAGGCTAGCACTCTACCACTTGAGCCATGGCACCACTTCCAGTTTTCTAGTGGTTTATTGGAGATAAGAGTCTCACGGACTTTGCCGTCCAGGCTGGCTTTGAACCATGATCCCCAGATCTAAGTCTCCTGAGTAGCTAGGATTACAGGCATGTGCCGCCACCACCGCGGCTTCCTACCTAACACTTTTAAAGCACTATTTTTTATTGTTGTTTGGTTTGGTTTCACTTGGTTCTTTGCCTTTTTGAAATAATTTTTGAAGTAACATGGTAGAATCTAAATTCCATTTTTTCTAATTAAAAAATTAAGTTGTCATGGGGCGCCAGTGGCTCACGCCTGTAATCCTAGCTACTCAGGAGGCTGAGATCTGAGGATCACGGGTTCAAAGCCAGGCCAGCAGGAAAGTCTGTGAGACTCTTTTCTCCAATAAATCACTACAAAACGGGAAGTGGTACTGAGGTTCAAGAGGTAGAGTACTCACCTTGAGCTGAAGAGCTGGGGGACAGTGCCCAGGCCCAGAGTTCAAGCCTCACGACCAACCGAAAAATAAAACATTAACTTGTCTATTATAATATATTCATGTTTTCTATTTTTAAGAACAAAGTAGTAAACAACTCTATAGTAAGGATATCTATAGTAGCAAACTTCTGTAGAAGGCCAAATGATAAGTACTTTTAGCTTTCCAGTTAGGTATTTTATTATATTGCAAAAATAACTATAGACAATATGTGAACAAATTAGAGAGGCCATGAAACTTAATAAAAGAGGACAGTTTGCTGGCTGCAAGTTGCTGTTTGCCAATACCTTTTATAGAGAAAGGGAAGACAATGTATAGAATATTGAGTAATAGGCATTGATAATTTTTTGGCAGGTTTTAAGGTGCAAGAAAATGAAAGTAGTGTCTATATTTAGAAATGGTTGGTAACTTACCCTAAATTTCTTGCCACCATCCTTAGAAAGTGAAAGATTCAAAGATTTTACCAACGCCAAATTCTCCTGTTTAGTGAGTTTTTTAATGAGTGCCTCTGTAATATATCGGACTCCTACATAAGACTCAGATCCTGAAATTACAGAAACAAGTCATTATCAGTAAAGGGACACAAAAATATTCCACAAATTAAATCAGCTATATAAGAAGAGAAATTTTTGCCGGGCGCTGGTGGCTCACGCCTATAATCCTAGCTACTCAGGAGGCTGAGATCTGAGGATCGCGATTCAAAGCCAGCCCGGGCAGGAGAGACCGTGAGACTCCTATCTCCAATAAACCACCAGAAAACCGGAAGTGGCGCTGTAGCTCAAGTGGTAGAGCGCTC